AAAAAGGTCATTTCGGCCAGCTGATGATGCACTTTCAGCCGGCTGATCCTTGTCGTCGGTCGGCTAATCCTCGCTGAAGCTTGATTTCTTTTCAGCTTCTTGGACAGCTTTGTTGTGCCAACTTCAGAGGGTCATATCTCCTTCATTTCTAAACCAAATTGGGTGATTCTTGAGCCTAACTTCAAGATCTTGAAGCTAGCTTTCCAATGGTACCAACCACACACAAAAAATCAAAACTTAGTGAGAGTTATGAGAGTTTTAGTGAGATAGGGTCGTGGTATTTCTTAATCGGAGGATGCCTCTTTGTTCTATTATCATATCTTTTCCATCCAGACTCCGAATCAGGCGATTCTTGAGTCTAAATTTATTAATTTTTTGTTGTATTTCCAATGGTTTGCACGGTAGCACCCATTTTTAGGTAAAATGACCATTTTACCCTTAGTCCATTTCTTGGAGGGTTTTGAAACCCTAGCTTCAGTCTTGCTTCCGCTGAGTCACGGGACTCCTTGGAAGGTCACTCTCATATCTTAGGGATGATGTAAATCTCAATAGACTTGTTTATGTTTAGCTTCCGCATTTTGGATCCGTTTTAGGTCATCCCAGGACATACTGAGTTTGTAAAATCCAGGGTCGTCACATTTACCTTCTGGAGGGTGTGGGAATTGCATATCCTCATTATTAATGCACTCGTTCAATATCTTAGAATCATTAGCAGACCCCTCCCATCCTGCTACAACGTATGTGAACATCATATCAAATGAACATACAACCATTGCATTTTGTGTGGTATCTCCCTTCCTACCACGATACTGTATTTGTTGATCCACAAGCACGTTTGCACGGATATGAGTTCCATCAATTGCGCCTACGCAATTCTTAAAAAAAGGGTAGAACTTTCTTGACTTTCTTATTTATATGGTTAGGAATTAGGGTTAAATCTGGGGGTTAATAATCTTTTTCCCTAAATCATACACTTTTTTGTAAAACCGAATGGAAGTGTTTAGAAATCGTATTGGTAGAGTATTGAAATCTTTCTGCTATCACACGATTCATTTCATTGTGAGCTAAAGTAAGCAAGAATATGTCAACTTGTTCAAAAGCACTTGCACCTTTAGAACCTTTCAACCCTAATGACCTAAGCTCATCACACAACTTTAAAAAACAGGGGTGGACATCCTAAAGTTTTCAAAACATCTAATTGCATGCCCATTCTAGATCTCCAATATATAAGCTTCCCCTTTTAAAATTGAATCTCTTCAAGGCTGCTTTTGGTAATGTTTCATATAGTATTCCAACATACATACCATTATGACGATATATTCATTCTCGTCGTCATCATCATCATACAACTCTATGATTGCCCTAATATCTATCTATATAAAACAAAATGTAAGAAAAAACATAAATTAATATTAATACTGTCAAACAAAAAACTAGTGATGTTCATACTGATATTGTCAATACAATCATCCCAAGCCAAATAGTAAATAGTATACTTAATAGTACAATCATTCAAAGTCATAAGAAAACCAAATAAGAAATAAAAGCAACACACCAAATAAAGAATAGTTAATTGTACAGTCATCCAAAATCATAAGAAAACAGATAACACATTAAAGCAACACATGAAAGCAACATGAAATCAAAGATTCATGATCCAACCAACTTTCCTATCATCAGGAAGGTCATTCAAAAAGAAATCCCTCCACATTTCATCAGTATGTAGTATCTTGGTGACCTTAGCATATTGCACAATATCAATGCCCTCCAATTGATTTAAAATACTACAACATAACTTAAAATCATCTTTTGTCTTGTCTTTTTTTTACGGAAATGTTACTTCAACCCCACATTTATCATGGAATGGTATCATATTAGATGATGGAACTTCTTTTATGGCCTTTTCAATTCGCTCAGCTTTCATATCAGCATTGTCAGTCATGGTTGCCATGACAACGCTCATTGTGGAGGCAAAATTCTTTTTCTTTGGTTTCTTACCACGAGGTTGAGGAGAGGGACTGATCTCATAACCGTCTACCTTAGCCAAATCATCAATTTCAAATGAGCTATGTATAGCTGCATAGTGTGAGGGGGCTTGGTTAATAATAGGTGGTCTAATCGAAGGATGGACATGTGCACCTGTAGCATATGTGTCTCTAAATATGGTGGTGAGCTTGTCAAAATGCTTGCATCCCTTCTTACTTTTTTGCACCTTTATTCACCTACAAATTTTTAAAGTACTATTAATATTAAGTTAAGTCTATATTTGTAAATTCAAGATACATTAATTTGAATAACTAACCTTCATCAACCTATTCCATCTTTCCTTTTCAACTACAACCATGCCCGTCTCAACATTGTATCCCACGTCTGTTTCTGCTGACAAACTCTTAAAGTCTTTGTAGTCTGCCCTCAAGTGGTTGAATTTGCTCCTAAGTTGGTTCCTTGTATATTTCTTCCTTGTATGGACCCTCATGCCTTCTACTAAATTCCTCCAACCAATTGAGCTAAAACTTCCGGAAGCCCGATTACCAACCCTCACTTCTTCCTCCAGACGACTAATGAAAATTTCGATATGAGAATCATCACATACTAGTTTTGCATCATCGGTAATATCTGTAAGGTCCTTTATTTCTGCTGCCACCACATTGACATCATTCATATCTATCTAATTACATTGTTTTAATATGAAGATAGATTTCTGTATAACTTTAAATATAATGTATGAACTATATTCAAAATATAAATACTCAGTTTCAACCCCAAGATAGATTTTAATACTTTAAATAAAATTAATTAAAGATTGCTATTACGTATGGTGGCACACAAAATTCACAAATTGCTCAAACTAACTGATAAATTTTGGCTGCAAGTTCCACTATCTCAGTTGACACATACCCCAACAAAGTCATTTTCAGAAACAAACAGTCAATGTGAACAACATTTTCTTATTATTATTATTATAAAATGAAAGTGTAAATATATCGAGTGAGAGGTTTGTGGTTAGAAAAGGCTTCCTATTTTTTCATGATCATCACTTTTTAATTTTTTATGCAGAACATTTCAAATCATCTGCCTCACCCCTTGCGTGTTTTTTGGCCAAAAACTAGGATTAGGCTTCCTTAACACAGACAATAGCACCATTTGTTGTTAATTGCTGCCACCGTAACCACTAATTAAAGCAGCCTCTCATTTAGACTTAAATATCGTTGTCTTCAATACAAATAATAAGAAAAATGATACTAAATTTTTATACGTAACATTGTATGATTTTATTTTGTTTTATTATTTTTGCAAATTATGCATTTTCATTTTTGTTTTACTAGAGGCATGACCATCAATTTTAACCACTTTGACTTAATTAATCAAAATCAATAAATAAACACAAAAGTGTTCGGTTCATGTTGAAAGAGAGAGATGAATGAAAAGTGAACGAATTGAAATGGCAGCGAAAAGTGGGTATTTATAGAGTAACGGGTAATTAGACGTGTCCATTTATTGGCATCCCACACTTACTCATTTTGGTCGCAATGGTTCAGACATAAGTTTGGGTTGCATCTCTTGCTATACAATGTTTTATATACATGCTAGTAAGTTTGTTTTGATGAATCCAGGCTTTTGAAGTTGGTTTTTGGACAGAACTTTGGTCACCTTTGGTTTTAACCTACCAAAACCCTAGTTCTTAATTGTGAAGCTGCTGTCAAGGCCTTATTGATGTTGTATTGTGATTCACAGCATGAGTTAAGCTTTGGTATTGCACAGTGGCTTCTATGTGACTTGAACGTATGTTAGTGCATTGATGCTCAAACATTTTTATTGTTAAACCAGGCAACGACCATTTTTTTGAATCATCCAACTAAGAAGAAAGACCAGTTCACCCCTCTCAGTCTTCTATTTCATGCAACTATTAAGCAAAACTTACGCTTGATCCTTGATATCAACTCGCTTGTTTCAAAGTAATTTTGATCCATCTTTTCAGAAAAATGGGTTCACAAGTTAGAGAGGGTGGATCTGTCACGCGACCTCCACCTTTTCATGGAATCAATTATACTTGCTAGAAAGCAAAAATGATACTACGTTTGTTCATGGATGCAAAAATGGAATAATATTTACGCTCCGTTTGTTTCGACGTAAAAAAATATTTTTCTTCCAGATAAAATATTCTTTTATTTTTACTTTGTCGATATTTTGCAAAGGTCTACATCGAAATTGAGGTCTAGTCTATCGGACCGGACATGTAAAATAACTTGCCAAAAATTAATGGATAAGTTATTTTTGTTAAATTTTTTTTTTTTTTTTTTTTCGCAATACATCCCAGCAAACGAAGTCTTAATTTTTTTTCAATAAAGAGAGAAAAAGTTTGCCACATTAGAACTAGTTTAGAAACCACCCAATGTACACATAAGGGATGAGCATAATTGCAGGTTTGCCTAGTAATACACGATAATTGCTCTAAAGATGTTTTTTATTAGATACCCCTAAATGAGTATATACACAATTGCATGCTAATTAGGTTTGGAAGGGTTTTGTGAAATCGTTTAAGTAGAACTAAGGTTCATGAATGCTTAGGTTTAAGGGTTCACAAAAATTATATAAGAGATATGGGAGAAACTTTAGCCCTTGCATATAATTATAGAGAGGTTTTTACGCGATTTATAGAGTTTCAAAGTTTTCTTTTGCACACACTTATATGAGAATTATGAAAAATCCTTAAAACTTAGTTCATGGTTTCTTCAAAGTCATACTTCATTGAACATCTTCAAAAACAACTAGTTGTATAGGCATCCATCGCAACAGATTGTGGAGGTTGCTCGTTCGGACGAGTGTTAAATATTATCTTTCGTATTTTGTAAAATTTACAATTATGCATATGATCCTAACAACAGAAGGTCCCAATTTTAAATATTATCTTTTTATTTTGTAAAATTTTACACGATGTAAATATTCAAATAACAATTGGCATTCATTGACTTGGATTCCATTGCTCAAGAGTCAAGAAATTTAACTCAAACTCAAAAACTTCTTTTCTGAATTATTTGGTATGGCTATCAATCAATAAATTACACATAAATAATTACAAAACATACAACTTTACACAAGCTACACCAAATTTAAGTTGCAAAAACTTCAAAATAGATTATGCATGAACTGGAATGACCAATGTGCCTTTAGTTCTAAAGATGTTTAAGCACTTTCCCACATATGCTAAAGAGATAAACCAGAAAGAATTCGCTAGCTTTGAGCAGAGATGGCGGCATATAATGACCACTGAATGAAAAACAATAATAAATAAAATTGAAAACATCTAGCCGCAGGGTTGGGAAAATATTACACTCACAGATTTGCTGTTCATTGCATAAGGAAACCCCCATCTCGTGGTCAAAATGCAAGTGCCGGAGTCTTCTTCTCGTGGTCAGAACGCAAGCGCCAGAGTCTTCTCTCGTCGTAGTCTGAATGCAACCTCTTCGTCGGACTCAACAGTAAAAGAAAGAACAGAAAATCTGCTCAAGAACTACATCCATACAACCTTTCGCAAAGTGTTATTGCTTACAAAAGAAAAATGAAGATGGATGTTGAATCATTTTACATACCCAAGCAACAGGGGAGGATGCTCATTTCATTTGTTATGAGCAGAAAACTATAGGAGTTGCAGATGGCGTTGGTGGTTAGAGCAAGAAGGGTGTGGACGCGGGCAACTATGCGCAACGATTAATAGCTAATACTATGACAACAATTTATGAGCAATTTATGATCAAACCGAATGACCTACTGATCCAAAGAGTGTCTTGAATGAAGCTTTCTTAAAAACTAAGCCCAAAGGATCCGCCACTGTTTGCATTATAACCCTCACAGACAATAACTTGCATGCTGCAAACATTGGAGATAGTGGATTTTTGCTGCTAAGAGGTGGTGAAGTTGTATACCAATCACCAATGCAGCAACATAGATTTAACTGCCCATATCAGCTTGGAAAAAGGAATGATTCCCCAGCTCGGCGCAGGAGCTCACTGTTTCAGTAAAACTCGAAGATGTCATTGTTGCTGGAAGTGATGGGTTGTTTGACAATATGCATATAAGTGAAATTGAAGAATTGGTGAAACATGGTGTGGAAGAAGAGTACATCCCACAACAATTAGCTTGGTATCTAGCATGGTTTGCTCACAGATATTCTTTCGACAGATTAAGTTCTAGTCCATTCGGAATAGCTGCTGACTCATCAAATCAACAAATTTTATTTCCATTGCATGATTAACTCAACCTGTGAGGATAGAATATGAAGAAAATAATCATATCATAATGCTGCCAAACAAATATAGTCATTTTTTGTGCAATAGAAAGAGTTTGAGCTTTGCAATTCTAAATACATCATGGTTGTGCAAGTATTTGTATCAGTTTATTGTTCATAGGAACTATTAGTATCACATACCGCAATGACAGTTTGCACAGAACCTCAAAGTGGACTAGGATAGAAGAATCATTTAGCATCTTCAGGGTTACATGAGAGCTTTGCAGTGCACCTATGATAAGCAGCACAATAAGAGCTATCACTCCCATACTTCTCTGTGCACTGTATTGTAGGGGGGGAAAGATAGAGATATAAACCCAATGCAGCCAACAAGCTTCATACATACAAACAAGGTAATATATATATATATATAGAGAGAGAGAGAGAGAGAGATAAATAAATAAGAAAGAAACAAAGAAAGAAAGAAAGAAAGCCATTGAACTAAACTACAATAAAAAATTAAAGTTATCAGTGGGAAGCTCCCACAAAGTAAGGAACAGTAAGTTTTAATTAGTTTTGATGCCTTCATAAAAAAAATGGAAATGATGGAACCCTTGAGATAGTAAGTTGTAAGTGTCTAAAAATAATAAAATGATAGATAGAAAGAAATGTGTGTATATATATATATATATAGAGAGAGAGAGAGAAGGGAAGAGAGAGAGTGAGAGAGTGCAGAGCGAGGAATATACCAGTCTCACAGATTGATGGCTAAGAACCATCTAAATATGGAAGCCATGGCATTTGAGAGGTATTGCATTTCTCTAATGATTTGGAAACCCATAATTTGGTTTTCTTTTATCGTTTTTTAGCAGACTCTTTGGTGACATCTAAACCTTGATATGATTACAAATTTTCTAGAGGTATTGCATTTCGTTAATGATTTGGATATCCATAATTTGGTTTTCTTTATCTGTTTTTAGCAGACTCTTTGGTGACATCCAAACCCTGATATGATTACAAATTTTCTAGAGGTATTGCATTTTGTTAATGATTTGGATATCCAGAATTTGGTTTTCTTTATCTTTTTTAGGAGACTCTTTGGTGACATCTAAACTCTGACATGATTACAAATTTTCTGAATGATGTGGTGGACATTTTAAAGTAGGAAACTTACAAATATCAAAATAATAACCCTGTATGTTGACATGGTGCTATAGCCATGATTATTGTCCATGTTTGTTCTATTACCCTCTGGGATGAGCCAACAATTGTTCAATTATGTACTGAGAAGACCGGCAATAATTGAAGATAGATTTATAAGAAATCTGTGTATTCACCTCATAGGAGAACTTGGTTCTACACCCATAATTTCTAATTATAGAAAGCTTTAAAAATAAATAATAATAAATAAATCAAAACTTCGTCTTTGCTCAAGCTTTAGCTTACCCAAAACAAACTCCCTATTGTGAGTGCAAGAGAAAAATCATTTAGTTTTTTTCATCACAGTTCCACTTTGTAATAGTGATTATCAGCTAAAACACATACCCTAAGAGTAAGTATAACATAACCGATCTGAAAAAGTTTTTTTCCTTTTTTTGACAAGATTTGGAAAAGCTTCCTAATCATTTAGATAAAAAAAATTTAATTAAAGTGTAAGATTCAACCACCACGTTCAACAACCGTTCGAAAAAAAAACATCCACGTTCAAATAGCATATCATAAAAACTGCAGAAGATGCTTCAACAACAGAAAATAAGGGAAACCATAAAGCTTAAGCAAGCATTATATCGTGAATCAAGTATTCGAGATGAAGAGACTTACATCTTGGAGCAAACTGTAATAATACTTGCAAGTACCAGAATTCCTTTGGCGGTTAAAGAAACTACGAATATCATCAGTCAGCGCATCCCAGTCAATGAAAGCCCCCCTGCTAGCTCCAACTTCTTGAACAAAGGCATCATTACAAGTGCCTGCAAAAAACAAGAGGAGACTATGCATGTGAACTATAGAGTGAAGGCAACATGAATTATCTCTTTCAATTATTTCTTTCATTAAGATCCATTTGCCATCAAAACTAGTTAGGATAAAGAATCTTTGTATTGGAACATTCGGTGACCAAAACAGCGATTTGTCAAGTGACATGGTCAGTCTGGTTATCTATATCTGTCAATTTGATTTGCTTGTAGATGTGTTGATGCAGTAAATAAGAATTTGTTTTAAGGATATTATTGTAAAATGATAATCTAATTATAAATGAATTAAAAATAATAGTACGGATGCCTACTATAAAAGAAATTAAATATAATATAACCCAGTAACCAACAAAGGAAAAATATCATTAGTATACAAGTATGTGAAAATAATAATTAAGGTTATGTTCATATTCTCTACAGCCTTCGAAAAAGAAGCAGCAGCAGCTATAGAGAGAGACTAAGATTAATTTATCAATTAATCAACGATCTACCAAGGATCTTGTGGTTTAGTGGTATCTCCTCTACCTTTTAAAGTAGATGGTGAGGGATCGTGTCCCCAAAGGCACAACGTGGGTGTGTGCGTTTCTTGCCAATGAAAAAAATAATAATAATCAACGATCTAGAGACTAAGGTAAGTGACATTCTACTGATTTACAAAGATTTCTATGTCCTAGAAATATGTGGCATTTAATTAGTTTAATAAATATGAAAATACTTTATATGTGTATACATGCAAAAATTTGTATTCAGGATTGTATAATATGGTGTATGGAATCTTTATGTGAAACATGTACAAATGATTCATGATTACACATCTACAGTTAATTTCAGATTACAAACATACTGAAATTTTTGTATAACAGTATATATATAGATATATATATGTGTGTGTGTGTGTGTGTGTACATAGGCATATATGCATGTATCCTATATGAACTATACGAAACCTTAGTTTAGCAGGGCCGGAACCAGCATGGGCCTGCGCGGGGTGGTGGGGGTGGGGCAGCATGAGTTAAGCTTTGGTATTTCACAGTGGCTTCTATGTGACTTGAATGTATGTTAGCGCATTGATGCTCAAACATTTTATTGTTAAACCAGGCAACGACCGTTTTTTTAAATCATCCAACTAAGAAGAAAGACCAGTTCACCCCTCTCAGTCTTCTATTTCATGCAACTATTAGGCAAAACTTAAGCTTGATCCTTGGTATCAACTCGTTTGTTTCAAAGTAATTTTGATCCATCTTTTCAGAAAAATGGATTCACAAGTTAGAGAGGGCGGATCTGTCACTCGACCTCTACCTTTTCATGGAATCAGTTATATTTGCTAGAAAGCAAAAATGATAACATTTAATTTTTTTTCAATAAAGAGATAAAAAGTTTGGCACATTGGAACTAGTTTAGAAACCACCCAATTTACACATAAGGGATGAGCATAATTGCAGGTTTGCCTAGAAATACAAGATAATTGCTCTAAAGATGTTTTTTTAGATACCCCTAAACAAGTATATACACAAATGCATGCTAATTAGGTTTGGAAGGGTTTTGCGAATTCGTTCAAGTGGAACTAAGGTTCATAAATGCTTAGGGTTTAAGGGTTCGTTCACAAAAAGTATACAAGAGATATGGGAGAAACTTTAGCCCTTGCATATAATTATAGAGAGGTTTTACGCGATTTATAGAGTTTCAAAGTTTTCTTTTGCGCACACTTATATGAGAGTTAGTAAAAATCCTTAAAACTTAGTTCATGGTTTCTTCAAAGTCATACTTCATTGAACATCTTCAAAAACAACTAGTTGTATAGGCATCCATCGCATCTTCACAACAGATTGTGCAGTTTGCTCGTTCAGACGAGTATTAAATATTATCTTTCTTATTATGTAAAATTTACAATTATGCATACGATCCTAACAACAAAAGGTCCCAATTTTAGATATTATCTTTTTATTTTGTAAAATTTTACACAATGTAAATATTCAAATAACAATTAGCATTCATCGACTTGGATTCCATTGCTCAAGAGTCAAGAAATTTAACTCAACTCAAAAACTTCTTTTCTAAACTATTTGGTTTGGCTATCAATCAATAAATTACACATAAAAAATTACAAAACATACGACTTTAGACAAGCTACACCAAATTTAATTTACAAAAACTTCAAAATAGATTATGCATGAACTGGAATGACCAATGTGCCTTTTGTTCTTAAGCACTTTCCCACATATGCTAAAGAGATAAACCAAAAAGAATTCGCTAGCTTTGAGCCGAGATGGCAGCATATAATGACCACTTAATGAAAAATAATAATAAATAAAAGGGTAAATTGTAGTGACATTTTTTGGACAATGACACCCCCCAGGTTTGGTAAACTGAACAAAGACACCCCAAACATGATGAAAGTACATATTTACCCTTTGACCACCTAAAATGACCAAAGTAGCCTCAGTTAATATATACATATATCATGTATACTTCTATCTCTCTCCACTCACCAGTCACTACCATAACCTCCACTCACCAGTCACCACCACCGCAACCTCCACAACCACCCCAACTTAGGCCCACCACCACCCATCTTCCCCTCCACTACCACCACCGTCCACAACCACCCCAACATTCATTACCAATGAACCTCCATCCAAACCCATTTCTAATCACCCAATAATGAACCAAAAAATTGAGGATTTTGAGCTAAAAGGAGGAAAGAAATACAGACACAGTGAGCCAATGGAAATCGCCACAGCTCGCAACCATGCCCCCAAACGCAAACGAGTTGCCGCCACCGCCGACGACTCAACCTTCCTTGAGCCTCCGCCACCACCCGCCACTCTAAACGATGGCATCGACCTCTCCTTCCTCGAAGCCGTCGAGAGATCCCAGAACGCTATTCGGCGATGAAGCTTGGAGAACACTGACAATAGACGACAACGACAGTGATAAGCTGTGTTACTCGGACTCGGGTACTGGTATCGGACACGGGTACGTGTCTAGAGGTCAGATCTATCTATCTATCAAATTATAGGACATAGGGCCAAGGAATAAAAGTGTCCAAAACTCGGACAAGAGTACTTGGACACTTCATATAAATATGGAAGTATGAAGTAATTACATCTGAATTCAGCTTGGGCTGAAAGCCAAGGCCCAACATCAGAAAGAAAACATAAATAGATTGCATAGGCACAAAGCCAAGACAACTAAAGTTGACTGTTGACTAGAAACCAACCACCACAAATAAAAGCCTAGCCCAACGTATTTGTGTGTGGTCAGTGATGTAATTCACATATAATATTATAATGAGTTTTTTATTTTTTATTTTTATAATGATGATCCAGCCTACTTTAACAACCTTCTCGTCTTCTTTTTTTTGTTTTTTTGTCCTTTTCTTTTTGGTAAAGTTGGTATTGGGGACCACCTTGCACCAGCTATCTTTTCTTTTTATTTGAGGAACCAAATGCACCAGTTGTCTTCTTTTTTTTTTTGTCCTTTTCTTTTTGGTAAAGTGGGTATTGGAGACCACTTGCACCAGCTGTCTTTTCTCCAAAACTTTTCACATTGTTTCACGTGGCCTGTTCAAGCAAAACTATAAGGTATATATTTTTTTTAGAATAAAAAAGTAAAGGCACGATTAACAAAAAAATGTTTCTCTTCTTTCCACAACTCCTTCAACCTTTCTTAATCCTATTTTGAAATCGAAGACCACAGAGCTTCATCCTATAGTCAAATCGAAGACTACCAGCGAGCTTCATCGCCAGCTGATCAGCCATGTCCAATTCAAAAACGAAGTGTCCGACCCGTATCCCGTGTCCGTGTCGGCGTCGTGTTGACACGGACACCCTCGCCTGAACCGGAGAGTCCAAGTACCACAGGTGATAAGAATAGTCCGATGAGGAAGCAACATGATGACGTTGAGTTTGTTGACAAAAATACTTTGGCAAAGGCTTCATGAAGAAGGGAAATGCTAATTAGAGTTAAAAGCCCTCTGCAAAAAGCAAAATAACCAAAACCAAAAGCCATCTCTCGATTACTCATCAAACCCTAACTCCAACAACGAAATTCCCAAATCGAAGAACGAATCAGCCAATGCTTTGTCTTCCAAAGCCCTAATCGACGAATCGTCGAAGGGTCAGTTGTCGGGTTTCTGATCGCCGTCAGGACAGTGTACGTGGTGGCGGCAGCACTCAACAACCCTTCATTTCACCGGTTGTCGGCGGAGGACGATGTGCGAAGCTCGGTTTCTGGAGGGAATGTTACGATTGTGGGCAGTCATCTCCGTGCGAGACTAGTCTTCCATTACAGAGATATGAGATGAGAGTTGTTGAAAGAGAGAGATGAGAGAGTAAAGCTGCGTACAAGGAATGAAAGAGAGATGAGAAAAGAGGGTAGTTAGGTCATTTTAGGTGAGGATTAAAATACATCTTACGGCATATTAGACATTTCATGTCACTAAAGGCTGTGTTTGGCTCTTTTTTTTTATAAAAGGGGTTTCATTGTTCAAATTTACAAACCTGGGAGGTGTCATTGTCCAAAAGTGGCCTAAGTCGTATCTACCTGTCTTTCAAGCAAACTTGAGGGGGTGTCACTGCAAATTACCTTAAATAAAATTAAAAACATCTAGCCACAGGGTTAAGAAAATACTACTCTCACAGATTTACTGTTCATCGCATAAGCAAACCCCCATCTCGTAGTCGAAATGCAAGCGCCAGAGTCTTCTTCTCATGGTCGTAACGCAAGCGCCGGAGTCTTCTCTTGTCGTTGTCCGAACGCAACCTCTTCGTCGGACTCAACAGTAAAAGAAAGAACAGAAAATCTACTCAAGAACTACATTCATACAACCTTTCGCAAAGTGTTATGCTTACAAAAGAAAAATGAAGATGGATGCTGGATCATATTACATACCTAAGCACTTTGGGGCGGAGTTGGCTAAACCCTACTCTGCCCCTTTAGAAAATCCGTCATACTAACTCCGCCCCTACTCTGGGACGAGTTTGTAATTGGTATAC